AAATACCTCCCCCTTAGCAATTACTACACAAACTTGTTCAAGACAAAGCACTTTCAAATATTCATCACCACTAAATGAGACAGAACTATCTTTTACCTTCTGGCCACGCGTAACAAGTGTCCACTCAAAGGGGTTGACTGGTGGACGTGGTTTGGTGACCTCTCCCTTCACTACCACTCTTGGCTGTGATGTCCTGCGCTGGGTCTGGGGCTTTGGGGCTGGTGGCTGGAGTACCTAAAAAAAATATTGATATAGATTTTTATTTCTCATATTGAAACAACATAATTACAAAATGCTTCATGTATGTAAAAGGTCTACACATATACTTTGCATCTCTAAACAGCATACATATGCATGACCATGGACAAAATACAAGCACACAAACAAATAAACAATACAAAAATCTAATCAATAGTCACAGCTTACCATGTAAGAAGCCGTCCACAGCAACTGTGCCAGGATAGGCATCCCCACAGTGTCCGACAGGTGGACCTTCAGAAATACCAGCAACACATATAATTAACTTCATTTTCCTGCCATTGTTATACAGACCATATGCTTTTCTTTTTTTTAAATATATTTTTTTGGGCTTTTGCCTTTATGTAGAGCAGTGGAGAGAGACAGGAAAGGGGGGAGAAGAGTGAGGGAGAGACCTGCAGCAAAGGGTCGTGAGCGGGATTCGAACTCACAACCGCTGCGTCGGGGACTGTAGCCCCTGTTCATGGGTCGCCCGCTCAACCAGGTGAGCTATACGGGCGCCCCAGAACATATGCTTTTCAATGTACAATTTCCCATTTGCCACAATACAACATCATCTTATACTTACACCATCCCTGCACCACAGCTCCAAGTTCTTCAATGGAAAATACTCCACAACAGAGAAGTACTTCACACCTGCAAAGCACAAACAAGCCATTATGAAATGCAGACATGTACATCTTCCACTGTATGTCTGCTCAAGTAAACATCATATGAATTACTACTCCATGTTTTGACTACAGTTACAGAACTCTCTATACAGCTATGTGTATGTCTGTAGCGACCACTATGGTACATACCCATGCTTGCAGCAACACGATGGTACTCCTGACGAAGATGTTGTTGGTAGTTCAGGTCAATGTTCAGACGCGGAGTAAAGTCTGTCACAACCACCTGTAAAACACCATTTTTGATCATTGAAACACTGCCCACATCAACCATACACATCATTCTACACTTATTATATATTGCAAACAAATGGCTATCACAAAAACATATGCACAACCAATTTTCAACTCTGCTTACATTGTTCTCTAGAAGCTTAACCCCAGAGAGGAAAGTCAGTTCCTCTGCAGCTTCCATGTGATAAAACTGTCTGTAGAACCACCTGGCAGCAGGAACCTGGACTGTTTCTCCTCAGAGGTTCCATCAGCCGTTCTGCTGCTGCATCAGTGGACAGCAGAGTTTAGTTTTCAGCAGAAACATGAATCAAACATGATTAAAACCTTTATTATCAGTGACGGGACTTTATGAGTCAGCTCATTTATCAAACCTGATTTTACTGCAGTCGTCTTTTATTCATTTTTTGTGGGGAATCAACTGTTTGTAATGAAAACATTTCACACCTGAAACAAGTTCCTTTTGTCACATGATCCTGTGCTTAGCCCCGCCCACAGCAGCTGTGATTGGTTGAAAGAAACACCGGGAGACACAGCCTGTCCCATTTCAGAGGCTGAATCTGAGCGTTTGTTAAACAGACGGTTTAGACCACAATGAATTTCTTGCACTGTCACGTCCCATAGCGCCGCTCCTGTTGCCTAGCAACCTGGGTGGCCAACTTTTATCCCAAGGCTCCACTTCAATTCAGTTCAATTCAGTTTTACTTATATGGCGCAATTCACAACATACATGATCTCACAGCGCTTCACATAGTCAGGTACAGACCTTCAGTTTGAAACAGAGACCCAACAATCCAACGTCGCCTTTGGACTTCCTCTGAGCAAGCGGTCGGCAAGGAACCAAAAAAAAACCCAATGGAAGGAAAGAAAACCTCCAACAGAACCAGGCTCAGGGATGGAGGCCATCTGCCTGGACCGGCTGGGTGGGAGTGGAGATGAGGAGGATGGAGAAAAGGACAGCAGATGGAGAGCAGCAGTAGAACAGATCAACAACACAAACTGTAGATCAGAGACGTGGAGCTCCAGGTCCAGAGACATCTGCAGAAAAAACAAACACAGTTAATGACATGTTATAGTGATGCATACAAGAGAGGAGAGGAGAGGAGCCCAGTGCATCATGGGAGTCCCCCGGCAGTCTGAAGCTACAGCAGCATCACTGAGGGACAGTCCAGGTGATCCTGAGCAGCTCTAACTATCAGCTT